AAACATAGATAATCTGCTAGCTTCTTGTCTAGTTTCACAAAAGGCTGACTTGCATTTAGTAATAATTTCCCACTTTTTAATGGCTACTCACAGTCTTGACACTTTACGCCTAAAAATACTTTTTTTTTTTTTGAGACTTATGATACAGAGAGAGGCCCTGCCAGAGACCAATCTGTTAACACATTAATTCTACAGCACACAGTAGCATCACACTACTTGGGTTCTGTCTGTAGGAGTCATTTTCCTTTCAAGAAATCTTCCAGAAGCCCTATCACTGGGGAAGCCAGGAGTAAGTGGTTGGGTTTGGTACACATGTAAAGACAAGCAGCAGCTATCAGTGGAACTGCACTCATGAGAACTATGACAAGAAATTTTAAAAATGAGAATGCGCATTTAAGTTTTGGGAGCATCTGGAGACCACGGTCTCTGGCTGGGCTCACACGTACCCAGTGATGGAGAAACACAGGGTAACAAAACAGCCCCTGTCCCAAAGCAGCCTGCAGCCCAGTGACTGAATTCAGACCCTACTGAATTAGGCATATTAAAATCTCTACAGAAGATAAAAAATAAGCAGGAGTTGACAGAAGTGGCTGGAGTCGACTGAAAACCATGCACGTTTCATCTAGAGCAGTTGCGCATAGCTGTTTCTGTTCGCCACTAACCCGCGTGGTAACTCCACCGCAGGCGGCTGCTACGCGACTCTCTGCTCTACTCTAATCAGCACTGTCATGAGCAAAGCCATCCCAAGCCCTGCCTTCAACCAGGACTGGAAAAATAGGTCAGGGAAATAGCATTATAATCTGATTTAACTGCTATTCAAATCATCACAGTCTCTCCATTAATTTGAACGAGAATTGGATTGGGCTCAAATTACTGACAACAAAATGGGAGGTTTACTTTAATATCTTCGCCGTTTCATTTAAAATCTTCCATTCAAAGAACAGAAAACAAGATCTCCCACGTGCCTTCAGGTGGCTATGGGGCAGAATTTTTATGTAAACCAATTCAAAATAGACAGACTGCCTGCGCCGCAGCTGGAAATTGGAGTCCCAGCCTGACGTAAGGCCACCCCCTCCTTACATTTGATGGGTGCCATAAAGCAGAGGAACAGCCCAAGAGTAAGAGGGCACATCACCCATGTGTTTGAGTAAAGGACCTCCAGGATTTGCTTCTCGGAGTGCAGGGGAGAGCCTGTGGTTTCAAAACACCCCACCCAGCTGGAAACCGCCAAGTCCAGAACAAGAAGAGAAAGCCTATCTGGAATTAAATTCCCAAACATCACAGCCCACAGCAGAAATCCTATTTATTTGATGAAAGCAAAAATAACTTCATATTCTGTAAAAAAACAAAATAAATTAAAAACAGAAAAGAAAAAAGGTCTGCCAAAGAGGCTTGTTTTGGCAAATAATGAATGCCTAAAGAAATATTGTTTGTATTATGCAATGAACTTGTAATTAATGTTTGTTTGCTCACCATTTAATAGCAGTTCTGCACTTAAGTGATGGGATTTTGCTGCCATTTGTGAATGTGCAGATTTTGAAACGTCATGCTGCATATGGAAGAGCTCCCAGGGGGTCATATCATAAACCCATTCAAATGCACGAAACAAATGACACATAGCTGTACAAATGTGGAAAATGAGAAAGCTGTGTGTATTATTTGGCACAAGTATTGTTAAGTGCCTCAGTTTACTTGTGTGGTACTTTCCTGCTTGACTGCATAGAGGTAAATCAAAAGAGGCTGTCTAGATGAGGAGAATGAAGGCATCAGAAATCTAAAACTCCTTTAGATGTGATGAGGGGCCCTTAAATGGAGGAGTCCCCCGTTTCTTTCCAGTCAGCCCGGCAATGTTCGTGCCTCTCATGCCTACATCTAAAGCTAATGGGAGTCTGAAATCCCAAAGAAATGATGAGACTGGCCAAAAGGAAAAATGTCAGGTAGCAATCAGTGTGCTGTCAAGAACGCAGACGCTGGCCTGGATTAATCCCACTGATCCATGTGCAGCCTGGAAGAGAACTGCAGTCTGTCTGGCTAAGAGTGGCGCCACTTCCAGAGGGTGACTTGGAGACAAGTAGGCCCCTAAACATGGCAGGGATCCCCAAAAGGGATCCATCCAGGCCTTCCACCCCTCCGTAGACAAGAAGAGAGGCAGCAGCACATACATACAGAAAAGATTAAGCCAGCCTAGGTATTGGCCACTGTGCCTGCCACTGCACTTGCACAAACTATGCCTAGACTTAGCTGCCTGAGTGAAATAGGCAGGCCTGCAGGTGGGACTTTGCTGCCAGGGCTTCATTGCTGCTAGGGCTCTACACAACTCCCTCCTAAAGTGGGACTTTGCAGAGATGGAGGCCAGGGAAGGTGCAATACCTTGCAGAACAAGATCCAGCTATAGCTGACACCCGTGAGTACGGAGATGGTGCTGCTTTAATTCTTTGTGCGACATGCTGTGGGCTTTTTGGTAGAGGAGTGGTGAGTATTGTTTTGTTTCGAAAAAGCTCTCCCTTTAATTTGCTGCTACACGGGCACCCAAAGTAAAGGTTTTAGCAGCTGCCACACTCAGCTGGACCCTGCTTGTAAGTACGCTTGGGAGGCGGTGGCAAAGCTGCCTCTCAGGAAGTCAGTCCTAGAATGGCAGGATGGTGCCACTAGCTCAGAGCAAGGGACGGGAGCGGCGCCTGTCACCCAGGGGGCCCACAGGAGGCTAGTAGCCAGCCTGCTCTGTAACCAAGTCTGGTGCATAACAGCTGAGAGGACATGGACTGTGACAGGATTCGATTCCGCACATTTTCTAGCTCCTACTGGAAGATACTCTACACCCCTTAATTTCCAAAATAATTTTTAATTTGGCACGTGTTTTCTCAGAGCTGTGAGGGAGAAGAGGCAAGAGATGTTCTTTACCATAATACCCTTGTGGTATTACATGGCCTTGCTTCCTGGCCTTTTTCTATTTCCATCTGAAGTTTCCAATTCTCCTGGACCACAGATGCCTATCGACCCTCAAAATTTGCCAGAGATGACTTATGCGCTCACCCACAGTTATTGCAAAGGAGAGCTTGCACAGTGCCGCAGTTCTCTTACAGTGGCCTCCCAGATCACCTGTATCCAGCTGTATCTGGGGAACGACAGCTTTATATCACTCTGATTTATGGCTGTATTCAATATATTTCGAAGGCATTTGATTATTTAATTAGAAGCCAAACTTTCCACTTGTAGATGAAAACTTGATCTCTCTTAAAACATTGAGCAGAAAGCTTTGATGGGTGGAGGAAGTTCCCCACTAGGAAACAATATGGAAATTTTAAACTTCTCTGTAAGCTTAGAGTGGGAGAGGAACATATAGACCACAATGAACTGTAAAGGAGGACACAGCCTGTAAATGGGCCAGGCTGCTGCTGAAGAAGGAGGCATCGGCCTGTGAGAAAGCCAGAAGAAAATCTGAATGTAAGACACACCTCTGATAATGTGGTCTACTGCCTACTTCACTTTAGTTTTGATAGAAATGAGATTGCTATGTGGTTATTTCCAGCGCTATCTATATGAAATAAAAACGTAGTGAAGTATGGCTTAGGGCTGCTGAGGAAGGATTGGTGTTTCATTAGTATTAAGTATGATTGCATAAACAGGTCCAAAATTGAAGGCTGTACTAGGAAAGGAGTGAAACAAAGTAAAATACAAACAAAAATATTGCCGTGAGCTAAACAGCAAGAGAGAAAAGATGTGTTCTTTTCAAAAAGTTGAGGAAATCAGCTTCTTCCACTTTTTCCAATTCTTCAAAATTGAATCTAACACTGAATGAAAATTTTTCTACTTAACAGAAGTATAGAACATTGATGCTTCTCTAAGTGCAGCATTTGCAATGCCATCATCATTGCTGAAACACAACCTTAATGATAATTTAAGCCCCTGTTAACAGGTCTTTCAGCTGCTCTTGAACCTCATCTATTTTCAGGAGCAATCTGCTCATCTTTGACACCCCAAAATGGCAGAAATCAATGTGTTATTATGCTGTAAGAACAACTGAAAAGCAAAGTCTTGAACTTGATAAGAAAACTATAACCTTCCTTTATGTTCACAACTTTGCCTTCCACAAAATGTAATTTAAAGAGAGAATTTAAAAACTTTAGCTTGGAAATACTCCTTCCTCTAGGCAGATTTAGCTGACAGATCTTCTACTACATTCTGCCACTAAGAAAATATTAGGCAAAAAATAAAGGAACAATAGGAAGACCTGATATTGACTTCAATGTTAGAAAAGTGTTCACATATGACAAATAGACCTCTAAAGGCCACACAGGGAGAAATATTTTTATACTTCATAATCATGGATCTGAAAAGCAAACCATAGAACTGCAGCAAAACACTTGTTGAAAATGACATCTAAAAATTTTGAGAAGGAGGATTGAAATGGGGAATAAAGTGTATGGTTAGGGAAACAACGATGGATATTCAGAAAAGAAAACACAATTTGAAAAGATTTTAAAAATCTGTGAGGGTAACTCTCCTTTCACTCCTACCTAGCCAGTCATGCCTCAGTCTGGCACCTGGGTTAGTTGGGCCAAAACTTTATACTGGGATAGACAGGGATAAGGCAAGTAAGTTAGTAAAAGAATGCGTGAGGCTAAACCTTGAACAGAAAGGTTAATACTTCCACCACTTTTTTTTAATTACAGAATTGCAGATTTTCACTTCTGTGATTTGTGATTCATCTTATAAACCACAGATTTACATTTCACCGCATGTACTTTGTTCTTCCACAATGAATCTACAAGGTTTTTTAGAGCTTTTCATCATGCTAATAGTACTCTCCCAGAAGAAAACTGATGTATCTCTTTTTTCACAAATTGGAGAAAATCACAACTCTGCTGTTCAACTCACTGAAGGTGAGTCTTTATTCAGCAAAATGAGTCTGCTGACCTACCCAGGCCTGGGCACCAGAGAGGAACAGAGAAGAACACATATTAAATGACACAAACCCCCTTTGCAACTGTATTTTGTACCTGAGGTAGCACTGCTGGTCCTTGTCCTGCCAACCTCTGCAAGGAGCTGACCTGAGGAACCTTAATGGGCACTGCAGTGATCGTTCCCAAAGTCTGTTGGAAGAAAAACAGTTGAACACAGCTTAAAACACTTGCACAGCTTCCCCAGACAGAATCTGCCCAACCCAGCGGTTCCCCTTCCAGCTCTTTGTTTGTCTCTTCTGGACTTATTACAGGAGGCTATGATACATCAGTCCATGTGAAGCTCTCTCTCTTCTGCCTAAAGAGTCAGAGACTCTGCCTTCTCTTTGATCTTCTCTGCAAAGCACTGTTAGCTAAAGCCTATTGCCTCCTTAGAGCATTTGGTAATTCTGGGTGCAAAGGACACATCTCATTGTTGTGAAGTTTTTTTGGTACGCAAAGGAAATACAAGTGTGCTGCCAGGGCTGAAGGTTGTCTAGGCACTAGCTTGTTTTCAAAAGAGATCTGAAGAAAGGGGAAACACACCACAGTGAAACTTCAGAATGTGCACTGGTAAGACGATGCATTTCATGGTAGCCAGGGTCACAAGAGAAGTTCACCGTGTCTTAGTAAATAGTAAATACTGAATTATTAAAATGGAGAGCTACCTATAAATCTACGTCAGCACACTGTAACACAACATTCAGCTAAGACGACATCCCTTCAGGCCAACACAGCAGCTATACTACCCATGTTTATTTTCTTTACTCACCCTTCTCTTAGTTGTATAACAAATTTATTCAAAACCTATTTAAGATAGAATAGAATAGAATAGAATAGAATAGAATAGAATAGAATAGAATATTTCAGTTGGAAGGGACCTACAACGATCATCTAGTCTAGGCAGCTGCCTGACCAATTCAGAGCTGACCAAAAGTTAAAGCATGTTATAAAGGGCATTGTCCAAATGCCTCTTAAACACTGACAGGCACGCAGCACCGATCACCTCCCTAGGAAGCCTGTTGCAGTGTTTGACCTCCTCTCAGTAAAGAAACGTTTCTAAACCTCCCCTGGCACAGCTTTGAACCATTCCCATGCGTCCTGGCACTGGATCCCAGGGAGAAAAGCTCAGCACCTCCCTTTCCACCTCCTCTCCTCAGGAAGCTGTTGAGAGAAATGAGGTCACCCCTCAGCCTCCTTCTCTCCAAACCAGACAAGCCCAAAGCCCTCAGCTGCTCCTCACAGGACGTGCCTCCCAGCCCTTTCACCAGCTTTGTTGCCCTGCTTTGGACACATTCAAGGACCTTCACATCCTTCTTAAATTGTGGGGCCCAGAACTGCGCACAGCACTCAAGGTGAATACACTGTGTACACTGCACTATGCTGAATACAGCGGGACAATCGCCTCTTTTGATCAGCTGGTTATACTGTTTGATGTCCCCCAGGATGGGGTTTGCCCTCTTGGCTGCCAGGGCACACCGCTGACTCCTACCGAGCCTGCTGCTGACCAGCACTCCCAGATCCCTTTCTGTAGGGCTGCTCTCCAGCCACTCCTCTCCCAGGTTATACTTGGTGCCTGGCATTACTCCACGCTAGGTGCAGAATCCAGCATTTCAACTTGTTAAATTTCATCCCATTGATCATATCCCAATGCTCCAATCTATCTAGATGCTCCTGCAAGGCCTCCTCTCCCTCAAGAGAGTCAACAGCACCTCCCAGTTTGGTATAATCAGCAAACTTTCTAATGGTGCATTCAACTCCTGTATCCAGATCATTGATAAATGTATTGAACAGAACTGGCACTAGAATTGAGCCCTGAGGAACCTGGTGACTGGTTGCCAGCCAGACATAGCCCCATTCACTACAATCCTTTGAGTTCTGCCCTTCAGCCAGTTCTTCACCCAGCGCACCGCGAACCTGCTCATCCCACAGCTGGACAACTTGTCCAGAAGGATCCTGTGAGGAACAGTATCACAAGCCTTACTAAAATCCAGAAAACTACATCCACCGCCTTCCCTTTATCCGCTAGGCGGGTGACCTTATCATAGAAGGAGATCAAATTAGTTAACCAGGACTTTCCCTTTGTGAACCCATGTTACCTGATGATTTCATTATTCTTTAAATGCCTTTCAGTAGTACCCAGTGTAAGGTATTTGAGGTAGCTCCTTCTACAAGCAAATATATCGCTGCTTTCTACATAAAGTTTACTTTGTAGATGGAGAAGTGATACTTGCTAATCCAGTATTAGCTTTAACCCTTATGAATACAGTCAGATACCAAAAGTAAGCAAATTATGTTTCTGTAACAAGAGTCAAGTAGACCCAAGTTTCCCCCCCACCTGAAAATCTCCGTATCTGTTTAGCTCCAATCCTTTGCTGACTTTTTGTCTATCTGTAGTGATACAGATCTACAGATGTACATTTATGCATTCTGTTATAGATGGTCTGAATGGCACCTCTTTTTCAATGGCACCTGAACGGCACCTCACCCACAGAGGCTCCTCAAATACTGGGTCTGAGATGTTTTAAATAACTGGAACTTGATTTTCTCCATTAAAAAGGACAGATAGCTTATAAATTTAAGATTGGGCCACAGGTCTAAAGAACATAGCTAACTTCTCCCCTTCAGCCTCTTCCATCCCTGATTACAGTTCCTATTTTGTTAACTGGCCGGTATTCTTAAAGCAAGGTTTTATAACTTCTATCTAACGTTTCTTAATTGCTGTTGGGATGGCGTGGCAATATAAGCAAGCAGATGATTGTCATTATAACAGCAAGACACACTTAGTCACTGATCACAAAAACTTACCAGGCTGCTAGAAATAGCTAATAAGGAAAAAAAACAGATTCAGCTCAAATTCTCTAAATTTAACTCCCCTCAAAACAAAAGTATTGGATTGCAGCCAGTAAGATAAAGTAGGCTAATATTAACCCAATCTGGTAATGGAATTTGTCAATAGAAAGGAAACTATAATGTAATCAGCTCTGGGAAAGCAAAACCGTGTCAGGTCCATGCCGGTATGTTCTCCTCAGACCTCAACACCAGAGTGGTAGAACAGTCTATTTCATTCTAACTTCAGTGTTTGATAAGAATACCATGCCTTTTCATGCAGAATGTTTTTAATAAAATAATCCTACAGAGTTTATATTTTTAATTCTGCTACTCCTCTTGGAGACATTTGGGGGTGTGTTGTCATATATTCAGCAAAGATTAAAATTTGCCTAAGATTTGCCTGAGTTAAACAACACAGAGAGCTGTACAGTTATAAACATGCAAGACATTTTTTCCTGAGTACTCGTGGATTATCAGTACCCTGGATTATCCATGGAAAAATATACTCCGTTAGAATTCTGCCTTGAGCCAAGGGCAGAGGGGCAGGGTGGAGAAAGTAGCATTTCCACCCGTGGATGCCAGAACAGGTAAGTTATACCTTCCTGCAGAAGTAAAGGTATTGGCAGCAGAGTGAGGAACAGAAAGGGGTATTTCCACCACAGCTATCCTGAAAGGATACATGGACTAAAAACTATGAGAAGGATACTAGAAACTATCTGAACGAATTACTTCTTTGCCCCATCTACCCGATCACAGCCTCACACATTGGGAAGGACAACATGACGAATTCCTGCAGCCTGGAGAGGAGATCTTGAGCTGCCACCTGCTGCTATTGCCACGTATTAGACATATCACAACTTCTTGCTTTATGTTACCATGAGCTAAAATTAATTCAGCCAGCCCAGTCGTTTCCTTTTGAAGGTGAATACCAAAGTGAACTTTCCAACCCACACTAGAGGAACTGGAAGTTTATCACAAGTATGATCTACATTTTCCCTCCATCCCCAAACTGCTTATGTGATAGGATGAGATTTCTTTCACAATGCAGTGAAGCCTGAGTTTTCCCTGGAAACACCAGGAGCACCGCAACTTCTCCTGGGCTGCACATATACCCTCTACACAGTGAAACCAAGAAGTTCTTCCTTCTGGAAGGTTGTGCTTAAAGCGTGGCTGTACCTCATGCCATTTTTATATATGCTACCTCTGACCTTGAAAAAGCACGTTCTGATATTCCTGTTCCTACAGACACACGTGGATTTGCAAGGCTTTTCAAACTGACCAACAGAATACCATGTATTAAAATACAAAGTGCTGACACAGCAAAATTGGGAATTGACTATAAAGATAAGAATCAAATTACTCAGAAGTTAGCTAAGGTACAGTTACGAATTGGTAGGATGCACAAAACCACCATGTCTGAGCAACAAATCTCTTTTCTTGTACTACTTCAAATATCAATCACAAGGGAAAAAACCCAACGAGCCAACCCTGCCTATAACAGAATGCCTCTCTCCTGTGAGGAAGGAGCTCATCTCAGCCGCTGAGTGCAGCGTTGCGCCAGTTCTGGTTTATGTTTCAAAACACTGACTGATTGAGCCAAAAGGAATGGGAACGAGAGAAGAAACAAGAAACGCCATAAAACTACTCTGCTTCACTTGAAGACAAAGCCAGGATGTATTGTCTGTGGGTATCAGAGAAATGAACTATCATTAGTTCTGTCACCCGCGCGCTCAAAAAATTCGTCAGATTTATTTTCCTGAAGTAGGAGTTCTACAGCGATCTCGAGAGAACAAAAACAAATTATGGCATTCTTAGGTTATGAAATTTTCAGTGACAAAGATGCAGCCTCCTGTTTACAAATGGTTGTATAGTAAGGATCTCTTATTTAATATTCAAGAAAACAATCTCAGTATAAAAATCATATGGCCAAGGGAAAATTCAAAACTTTAATCTCACATTAATAACAGCACCATAGTATGTTCAGACAGAGAGATACCTAAGGATCTATTTTACTTTTCACTGTTTACATTATTTCGTTATTGTTTCCCAGCTTGGGTAATAAATAGTCCAAGCTGTTGTATCAGCAGAATTCAATGACAGAAACCTCTGTACTTTTCCTGCAACACGTATCATCTGTTATCTTAGGGTACTTCGCCTAGGTCAGTATTATTGTCTCCATTTTAGCGATGAAAAAAAATTGAGATTTAGAGGTAAAATAATGTTGTCAGGGCTAGACTGTTGCGCAGGTGGAAAGGCAAGCCAGACTCCTTACTTCCAGTGTCTCATCCATGTGATGGATAAACCTCATCTTATCTGCTGAT